TTCTCCCTTTCTTTTCCTATTCATATTTAGCTCAAGCTAAAAGGAATTCATTTTTTTCTAGCTCCTAAAAGTTAGGAAAAAAGAGAGTTCCTCACATTAAGTCAAAAGCTATATGTGAATTGTTTCTTTCCTTAGATCCAACTCTGAAAGGACTTAGTATGATATACCGCACGAGGCTTACACACTTAGGTGCACAACCCTAGGCAATGCTAGGATAAGGTTTTCCTTGTGTGCCATGGTGATTGATGTTTGGAGTGATGTACTTTTGAATATGTCCTGCGTTGTGGCAATTGCCTTTAGTGGTTAGTGTAGAAAGATTAAATGCTTTCTGTGCAAGGTGGCCATATCAAAAGGGGGCGCTGCATTATATAATAAACGCTTGCATGACAGGTACTGCTTAAATATCCCCAGATTGGCAATAGGGTAGAAGAGGGGGCCTAGCACTTAGCATTTAAGTGTTGACAATTTTGGGATGATCATATTTCTGTTATATAAACTGCCGCCTGACTTTGTTTTGCAGATTTGAGTCTTTTTCTTTTTACACCATGTATTTGATTAGATCTAGGGTGTGAAACTTGTGGGGTTTGGATTAGCAAGCAAGGAGGATCAAGGGAGAAAGTATCCCTCCGAAGGTTAAAGCTTGAAGACCCCCACAAGTAGAGTCTGTAAATTTGACTGGGTTGCATAATGGCAGGCAACTCAGCTGCCAAACATGTTTGTAATAACCGGGACATTATTTACATTTCTGTCTTTATTTATATACAAAAGCATGCGTTGTTTACTGGGTGTGTAATAGAACAACATGTCTTTCCTAGGTTTCTTCTTTTGTTTCTGTGGGTGTGGCCTGGACTTTACTACGTTAGGCTCTTAAGATAAACTAAGTTTTCTACCCCTTAAAATGTAAGCAACCTAAAATAAAATTAGGCTCCATGATTTTCTAACAAAAGAAATTTGCATGGCTTTCTTTTAAAGAGTCAAGTTTTCCAAAAAACTCAAAAGAATCATGCATGGCCAAAAGTATGTCACATGTAGAATGCCCTCACTTAAGGATTAGATAACAAAAGTCCATTTCTTTATGAGTCAGCATATGCATACCTACATAAATAGGCATCTTGGTCTCAAAGCCAAGCTATAAGCCCTACCTTCTAAATAAAAATAACCCTGCCACTCTACATTTGCATTGAGACCGAATAACATGGTTTTAAAAGCGATTAGGGGGAGTTTAGCTGGTAGTCCCTTCCAGGCGGGATAATAAATCCAGAGGTCGGGCGGGTTATGCCTCTTGTAAGGTGTAGCCTGTAAGTCCCTCTTTGCACTCGTTAGATCTAGGTTCGAGGTACTACCTGTCAGTAGTCCTCACCTTAGTCTTAGGGTTCGAGGCATGGGTTGATTCCAAATCACCCTATAAGCCCTCATCCTTTGGGCAATTTCTCCAACAAGCGTTGTTGGGATGTAAGCCCCAACTTTCTAATCAAAATATCAACTTAAACCAAAATTAGATTGCTAAAATGTAAAGCCCAACATAGAATAGTTTGAGCACCTCTGAGTGTCCCTCAGAATCAAGTGCTCCTACTTCACCTTTCCTTGGACTTCACTCCAAAAATCTGATTCTAAGTTGATCAATTCCTCCTTGAAATTCCTAAAGGCCGAAAACCCTTTAATTAAGACTTTCATGGATTTTAAAATAAAGATCAAACTTTAATCAATGTCTAAAATGACTTCCAAACAAAAAAACCACTAGTTTAATCAAGAGTTTTCCCAAGCCAAAGCTTGGGATGTAATTAACCATAGGGGCTTGCCCCTATGAGATGTCTATACCCCACAAATAAATAAAACCCATTCGACCAAACATCGAGTGGGGGAATCTCTGTTAATAATTGTAAATTTTATGATTGAGTCCATAAGGAAATGATATTTTTACCCTTCGGGGTAATATGTCATGTTCTTATGCTGCACTCGATTATAAAATATGCAATCCGTTTGAAGATACAAAAATTCTCCAACATATCATATAATTCATATATATCGTATGCATTCATATCAATCTTGTCAGTCTTATCATATATTTGTATCAGTCATGTTCTGTATTATTTGTATATCATATTATATAATGTCAACTATGCAATTTATCATGTCATTTGCATATGCAAGCAAGATAGATCTGACTGCCTGTAGTGTTTTTCCTGTATCCAGTCCCGAAGGCTAACCCTAGAGGAATTAGTCTCAATCATATCAATTTTGTTGGCATTGAGGATTATACCACAAATCTTATTTAAAGGAAAGTCTGTCGGCCCACCCTTTTGTATAGTGTAACATGTCTCCAGCTAACCCGAATCAATTAGTCATGTTCAGCCAAGCTTTCTTCCTTTTACACACATTTCATATTATATACGACATATAAATATCAAACATCATATACACTTAATGGAACTGTTGTTATGCTCATTATTTTGCCTATAGTATGCCAAAAATGCATGTTTAACTAAATGAACAGTAAATGAATGCATATCATGTATTTCATATTCAAAAGTAATATATGGACTCCTGATCATTTTATACTCAATATTTCCTCTACTTATTTTAATTAAAATGACATGTAAGCAAAATCACCAAATGAAAATTTATTATTTACCAGCCAAAATGTTCAAGTTAACTTTATCTACCACATATTAAAAGTTATACGGTGGAGAATCACTAAAACAAGATATGTTGCATTTTAATCAATTGTAGGGGGAAAAAAAGTAGGCAAAACATAAAATCACTTTAAACAATGGTAGGAGTAGGGTTACCTACCAACTGGAGTGATGGAAAATGCCAGCTTGAAAGTGACATTCTCTCTCTTCTCACCCGACCAAAGATGAAATGGGGAAAGAAGAGGGCTGTTTGAGGGTTTTTGATGAATTAGAATATATATATATATATATATATATATATATATACATGCATATTGCAACTATTTTTGGATTTTTGGTTATTTGATGATCATTTAACAAACCCAGAAGGCGCAAATGGCATTCTCTGACAATCTCCTAAAGTTTACTTCATAGTTGTGCAAATTCCAATAGTTGTAATAACCGTTTAATGCACTTAGAACTGATAGCTGAGAAACATTTATATTATAAAAGGTAAACCTTCAGCATGCTTCAAGGTAGAAGGAAGCTATAATATTTAGATAAATTCCCTTTTTATCATTGCTACCCTTACTAAATGATAAGCATTTATTGAACAAAAAAAAAAACTTCATCAACAAGTTAATGTGAAACTCAAGATATGCAACGAAGAAGTGCATTTGTGCTAATTTCTCCAAGCGATAAAGCTGAAGTGAATATCTAAAAAAGTTGATATGAAACTCAAGATTGCACTAATTTCTCCAGGCAATAAAGTTGAACTAAATATGTCAACCAAGTAATAAGAGGGAAATGCATATATACCATATAACGCAAAATTTTGACCAGAAATAGCAGGTACCAAAACTTACCTGGGGTTTATCTTTTCTAATCCCAAGACCAGAGGAACTAACAATAGAAGTGGTGCCCCATTGGAGTGACCAATAATACATTCAGAAGAAAGCCTAGATGCAACATCCAGGCAAACAACTGGAGCACCTCCTCGTTCCCCATCTTCATCACCGGAAACAATGTACAAAACCATAGGCAAAGTTGTTCTTCCTTGACTGTGATCACCATTGTCTCTGTTAGCACGAACAAGAGTTTCCCACGTGCGGCACATGGCATATGGACCCACCCATGATCCAGCAGATAGACCATAGCCCATTCCTGCTTTAATTAAATTGTGAATAGAATATGGGCATGCCTCAGAATCACCAAAAAGATATAATATGCCAACATATTCTCGATCATATGGCTGCATAATTAAGAGGGTACCATCATTAACAATCCATATGTTGCAAATATGAGGAGCTTCATCACTGGCTGAATTAATTATCTATAGCATGAAGATATATATATATATATATATATATATATATATGCGCGGGCGCAATTTCTACATTTCAAATGTATTGTTGTAGTCTGTTTTGCGGATGGGTGACTGTTGGTCGAATTTGATTGTGATTGATGCATTTCAAACTTGTTTTGCATGATGTTGTGATCTTATTCTATCATTTTCGTTGTATTCGATCGAATTCAACATACAAAGTTATTTCCTGATAAATTTGATGTTTTGGACGTGTTGGGGTGGTCCAATGATTGAGTGATTTTATGTGACATCGTATCTATTTTCTATTGTTTTCATTAGACAATTATTTGGTGATGTGACAATTCTTTTCTAATCATTTTCAGTGCTCCAAATGTGTTGGCAAAGTTTATTTCATGAAGCAGCAGTCTGTTTAGCAATGTCGGTTATGATTAAAGAGTTTAATTTATTTCTTTCAATATTATGTCTGACGGTTGTTATGAATGTTGATTTTGATCGGATTAAATTCTTGTTGTTTTGTGCCGCACAAGCATAGGTCAACCAATATCGATATGCTTCTTTTCAACATGGAATGCATATGAAGAATGGTTGTGCCTTTATGATGAATGATCATCTTTTTGACAGATTCAGTGAGCTTTGATATGTTCAGCTTTACACCTTTCACAGGATTTTTACTAATTCCATAATCACCAATCGAGAAAACATATGATAAAAAATTCAGGATTCATTTATCCATGACAATCACAATTTATTTTGGCATCAATAATGATTCTCCAGACATAGACTAAATCAATTTACTAAAATTTGAAGTTAGAATCAATATGAAATGATAAAATTCCTTTTTAATAAATTGTTTTGCTAAGGGATATACATTCTTTTAGTCTGACTAATTTCTTTAATTTCATTGAATGAAGCATGCTTTTTCTTTCAATGGGAAAAATCAGTTATAATTCTACCTATCAGCTTCAATTGGTCTTCTTGCAAGTTTGTTCTATTTTCTTTCATTTGTTAAGTGGCAGCCCTTTTATCATTTGCTTTTTTTTTATTTTGTTTTTGTTTTGCAGATTGGAGTTATGGTGATGGTTCATGGAGATGACAAGGGTCTGGTGCTACCGCCCAAAGTTGCCGCTGTCCAAGTCATTGTCATTCCTGTACCTTACAAAGATGCAGACATGCAAGCTATCTTTGCAGCCTGCTCATCAACAGTTCAAATATTGCGAGTTGCAGGGTTCAGCGCTGAACATGATTTGAGGGAAAATTATTCACCTGGTTGGAAGTATTCTAACTGGGAGATGAAAGGTGTTCCCCTGAGAATTGAAATTGGGCCCAAGGATATTGCAAATAAGCAGGTAACTTACTAAGATCATGTTGGCTAAGATGCAGATGACCAATATATCCGACACCTTAGATGATTTACTAAAACTTGCTATTTTTACTTTTATTTTCTTGCCCTATTGGTATTAGAAGCTCTAAGCTCATCTTTGTCATAACTAAAATTAAGTTGACTGTGTCAACATGCAAGAAATACCAATTCACATGGAAAGTATAAAATCGAGGTTATAAAATTCAAATGAAATGTAACCACTGAGGTGCCATTAGATCAGCCTATGCTGACCTAATTCTAATCGTCTTATTTTCTAGGCAGTCGTCAGTTTCATTAATTTTGGTCATAACTTTTGAGCTGAGGTAAATTTTTGTCCAAACTGATGATTTTTCCATTATCGAGCTGAGGAAGAGATGAAGCTTTGAGCATTTCTATTTTAAAGACCAGGTGTAAAAGTAGAGGGATTGAAATCCAGGTGGAGAGGATAATTAGTGTGGGTTTTCCATTTGAAGTTACCATCGCTTTCCCATCCATCATTGATGTTTTCCACCATTACCAGTGCAGTTATAGTTCGCGCAGACATGGAATACCATTGTGGATATTGCCATTATCACAGTCACTGTCAATGGACAACTATTATTGTGTTCCACCGTCACTTTCCATTCTCCATTCCATCTTTGTACAACCATGTTTTTCCAGTGCAATTGGAAAATGAGATCGACGGAGTAGGGCCAACACAATATTAATGGAAATAGTTTTTGTTTGGTTTTTTTTTTTTTTTGGGGGGGGGGGTGGTTTAAAAAGAGAAGAGAGGGGGAGCGATGGACTAGTGAGGGAGTTGGAAGAATAAATAGTGATGTAGAACTAAATGCTTTAAATGAATGAAATAAGAATTTGCACGATTTCTTGATAAGAGCAATTAAGATTAGAACTACTAGCAAATCCAAACGATCAAATAAACATAAGAGTGGTCACTTCCGTTTAGGTTAAGTTGCACAATAAGCACTTGGATTATCAAAACAACATAGAAAATCAAGTCATGCAAATAGAATAGCCTTCAATTGAAATCCCTAATCTAACAATAAGATTAGAAGCAAATAAAAGTGCACTCAATCCTACGTTTACTAAGCTTTGGCAATGACAAGATAAAACCCTATGTTTACTAAGCTTAGGTAAAGGTGAAGCTCGGTTCCTTGTGAATCTCCATCACCTACAAGATTAGGGGGATTAGAAAAGTAAATAAAAAGGGGAAGAAGTTCACCCTTATCAAAATCCGGAGACAAGTAGGCGATGTGTTGACGAAGTCTGACGTAGTTTCTCGTGGAGGTTCAATTGGAGGAGAAGAGATCTCTTCCAAGCGTCGAAGAAGGTTGAATGGAGAATATGCACGAATCCGTGTTCGTCGTAGACACAATCCCGTTATCAGTGTCGTGGTCGGCCATCCATGTAGTACTTTGCTGTTTTTGGATTGGCGAGTTGTTAATCAGTAAGGGAAGTATCCTCCTACGGTGGTATGATGATTCAGACTAGTGGAAGTTGGTGGGCAGCAGGTTGGTCCTCTTAAAACAGCAGTATTGGGAGAATTGCTGGAAATTTCTGGCTGCAGCTTTAGAGGGAAGAAGACCCAACGTCGGGCAGCATTTTGGTAGAGAATTGTAGAAGGAAATTACTATATCAGCTTTGGGAAGTTTCAGCCAGCAGAGAAATACGGAGATGGGCTCAATTCCTAATTAAAATAGGACGTTTTAGAAAGATTTAAAGAAGTGGATGCATGAGGGGGAGTTTCGGCCAGGTGGGGTGGTGGATTGCTTTCTGTTGTATCTGCTTATTTGAACCTTTTTAACCAATATTCGGCGGCTTAATGACCAAGGAGGATATTGGGGCCGGCGGCTTAATGACCAAGGAGGATATTGGGGAGGGGATTTGGGTTGCTTAATTAAGGTTTTAAGAATTAGGAAAGGTTTCAATTAATTCCTCATGAATTTGAAATTCAAAGGGGTCTATATTTAGAAACTTTCCTAAAATAGTTCCCTTAAATAAGGAAAGAAAATCTCAAACTTAAATTATTTGAATTTTGAAATTGGATCTTCCCAAATCAAGAGCATTTATTTATGGAAAGTATTCAAACAAAGATTTGAATTTTGGAGGGAGGGAACAGAAGTTGAGGCCGGCGGCTATGGTGGGTGAGCCATGGGTGGGGTGAGGGGAAAAAAGGTCGGGTGAAGGTGGAAGGGGAGTTAGGTCTAACCAATGGTGAGGGGGAGTTGTGTGGTGGCCGGCGACTTAAGCCAATGGGGAGGAGCTCTAGGACGGTGGCTAGTTGAGGGAGGAAAGAGGGGAGAAGAAGATAGAGAAGGTAGAACCACGAACCCGGCCGTCTCCAAGGTTGGTGGGTGATCCGATTTTCCCTCTCCTAGGAATTTCTCCAAAGTTCTCTCTAAGAACTCTCAAACGCTCTCAAAACACACAAGTGCAAGAAATTTCTCATAATAATCATTCATTCATTTTCAAAGAGAACACAGGGGCTATAAATAGCCTCGTACATAAGACTCAAAATAAAAAAGATAACAATGCCCTCAAGGCTTACATACGACCTCCCTTTAAGTAAAGGGTAAAAACAGAAAACAATTACAACATAACTAATAATAAAAGACAAATAACATAATAAAACAAATACATGAACTAATCTCAAAATACATCGACGCGATCGTGGCTGTAGATCGTTTGCCACGCCTCTGATATTTGATCCATGCTCTGATGTCCCCATCAAATAGCCTTCCATGTTGTTTTTTTGAGGTAATATGTTGAAGTGAAATGTTTTTGATAAATTAGGGGTGGTTGAAGCAGACCATTATTGGTGGCTACCGAGGAGAGTGATAAATGAAGCAAATGGGTTTAGATTAGATCCCAGATTGGGGGATTAGGCTGATTTCCAGTTCATTTTTTTGTTTTAAGTTACAAAATGTTTCCTTTTATTACTTAAAAATTTTGAATAAAGTTTTAGATGGTTTTAATTCATATTATACTTAAGATGATTGGTGCATATGTGAGCTATGAAAATTTGCACTTCAAGCCTCTTAGGGGGTGTGGGGTGTGGGTGGTGGGGGACGGAAGAATAAATAGCTTCCATGCTGGTTTATTGTGGGAATCTGTTAAAATGAATTGTTTTTGATAAATTAGAGGTTACCAAGAAAGTCACTTCCATCACAAAGTCATTTATTCCGTGATTATATGAGAGTCTTGTTATTTTATATATTAGATTGCTTTTATTTATGAAGATAAGTTACTTATTTATGCTTGTTAAATTAGTTGTTTGTTTATTCATTTGAAGTCTCATTTTTAAGCTCAACAAGTTGGTTATTAATAGGCTTGATAGGATTTGTTCCAGTAACTATCAATCTGTGCTATAGTTTTGATTGTTAATGCGCTCAATGAGGCTCATTTGGTTAGCTAACGAGCCGAGCTAAAACCAAATTCAAATAGCTATTATTTTAAATAAATCAAGCTTAAATACTACTACAAATACTTGAATCGAGTGTAAGCTTGAACAGAATGTGAAGAAAAATTCAATCTCAAGCAAGCTCCTTCTTGGTCGGTTAAGTTCAGTTCATTTGCAATCCTAATCTTTTCTAAGCATATATGGTGTTGGTTGACCGACAATGATCAATATATATATATATATATATTCAAAACTTCGATGTCATTTTCATGAGAACATGGAAGATCTCCCATCAATGGGAGAGGGATGCACTCGAAGCAAAATAAATTTGGAATCTTGATAAAAAAAAGGTATTCCAATAATCTAGCGACATCAACCAACTATAGCGTTTTGCTGTTATTTAGGAGATTTGGGTTGTACAAGAGTTAATTAGAAGTTAGAATGAGATGATGTAACTATAGTACTGAGTGGCATGCTTGTTAAAAATCCCTTTGTTCTATTCAATATCTAGCATTTACCATTTATTTTATGATATGTTCACTGATATGAAGGTGTAGACTTATTGGATTTGAAATTTAGCTTTTTGCAATCCTGTGCCAATTTCTTTTCTGATTAATAGATAGGAACGTTCTAGATTCTTCTATGATGCATCTGTCATTTGATAAGTATGATAAAGTTGGAGGTTTTATTTTTCCCTCTTTGGAACCATTCCGTGTAGATTTCTTCTTTTGATTGGTCCCAAGAAAGCCTACTCTAACCTACTTCAAACCTTGTCATTCCCTTTGTTATTCTCATTCAATGCAGGGCATCAATTACCATGTAATCTCACTTAAGTTAGATCTTATAAATCCATATAACATGCGTATTCATCTCTCATTTTTTATGTATTATGGTGCTATTTTGTATTTGTATATAATGAATGAAGGTGATCTCTGAAGGTACGTATTGTACGGCGTGATACTGGAGCTAAAACAGATATACCCATAGCCAGCTTGGTTGAACATGTCCAAGATATGTTATCCAGTATCCAAGATAACTTATTCAATATAGCAAAAGCAAAAAGAGATGCATGTATAGAGGTTGCCCATACATGGGAGGAATTTATGGCAGCACTCAATGACAAAAAGTTGATCTTGACTCCCTGGTGTGATGAAGAGGTATCCACCCATTTCTTATTTGCAAGGTTTCTTGATACGCTTTGTGACTTCAACCTCTACTAGCTTATCTGATTTGGACATTTTTTTTACTTGCTTAAATATCATGTGTGTTGACAGATTCTGATGATGTGACCATGTGTGTTGACTTGCTTTCAGAACCAGACCTTAATTGCATATTATTTGTGGTAGACACTGTTCATGGCTAATCTTTTTTTTTTCACGATGCCTAGTTCAACAAAGCTGTAGTAAATTGTTTTTTAGTTGTACCTAACCCACTCACACGAAATGTATCATGTGGTACAGCATTTTTCCGTGTAACTTTTTGGCATTCTTCCCCTTACATCCATGTCACCCAAATTCGTTGTGCAAGTTTGATCTGCATGCCTGTGAGCTTGATTTGTGGTTGGGTTGCCAAACAAGCTTAGCTGAATGTTATAGAGACAAGACACAACATGTAGTGTAATATCTAACGCAATACACCAAGTAAACCATAAAAGCAACTAGCCTGCTTACGAAGTAAATAATTAGAACTCAGGGAAGTGTTTGTTTCTTAATAAATTTTTTTTTGGATGTGCAGTTCTTTGTAGTCTTCTTTGATATCTATTGAGAGACTAAAGATTTTTGGGGATTATCTCCTTGTTCAAGCAGGAGGCTTGATTTTGTGACTTTTTCTTTTTTACAATATTGTTCTTAATTTTGATAATTTGTTTGTCTGCATGATCAATTTTGTTTTAAAAATTGTATGCAAACCGTATTGCTTGATTTCTAATTGATTGTGGTTTCTTGTTTTGTATTTCTACACATCTATTTGATTATCATTTATGTGGATTTCATCTTTTTTTTTTCCCTTCTAAAGTATCTAATATTTGTTAAAAATTTAAAATTAAGAGTTTATGTCCTTTGTATGTGTTTTTCTATTTTTATGCATCTGATTCTTGATTTGCATTTGAAAATCTTAGACCTTAAGGCATCCTACGTCTGATTTGGTATCAATATTTAAGGTTGTGTTGTAATGTTAGTTAAAAGTTGGACATAGTAATTAAGTCAATTAATAAAATAATAAAATGATGTAATTTAGATAAAATCAATTTAATTATGATTATAAACAATTTCAACATGACAATTATGAGTTTAATGATTATATTCTTCTATTTGATGGTAGTTATATTCTTAGGGAATTTCAATTTGGATTGATGACTTGATATTTCCAAATAGTTGAATTTACTAAAATAGGACATACTCAGCATTTTTTGACCAAGTAACGGTAAATAAAAAAAAAATAACCTACTTATGTTGATATTGAACATTAATTTAAATAATAATATTTTCCAATTAGACAATTAGTGTTTATAGGAATCAACTATGCAATCAATTTATGAACTTTAGATGATGAGTAGTGTGTCTGCGCGCATATATTGTTAGTTTTAAATATCTCATTGCAAGATATTATTTGCATATACATTGTTTTGCTATCATTACCTAGTTCATTGAAGGTCATAGGCAAGAAGTTAAACTTGAATTATGTTAAAATTCTTTAGAAATATGAGGCTTTACGCAACTTTAAAGATTAAGTATTATAATTATGTTCGTGTTAAGACTATTGTATCTATGATTAATATTTTAAAGAAAAATCATAGTCTCTTCCTAGTGTGTCAAATCCACAACAACACAAATCACCTATGACCAAATTTAATCCTATTGTAGACTGTAGTTTATGAATATTTGTTTAAAAGATGTATTGGATGCAGAAAAGAATATATGATTTCAACATGATTCTACATCTTATGTTTTTAGTCTAAATTTGCATAAGAGTTTATACTAAAATCTTTTCATGAACCTAAGTCTACAATTAAGCAAGCTTTAAAAGTTGAATCTAAAATTTAGCAAGAGTTAAAACTTGAATGTAAAATTAAGAATCTAAATAAGGATCTATAACAAACTTGAACATAAACCTCAAATAGAATTTAAAATTGAACTTCAATTAGAATTTGAACTTATTCTTAATCATGAAAGTGAGCAAATCATTTTTGTTGAAGTTAAAAAAAATATTAAATCCTAAAATAGTCTCCCGATTATTTGTGTGGCTTATTTCGCCCTAAATTATCACATTGGTTTCATTTTAACCCCTTGACTATATAAATTTGATTTAGAATCATCCCTTATTAAGAAATTGTGATACAAATTTATTCAAATATAGTTCATTAACTTTACAAATTTATCCCAATTTAGCTCTTAGGAACCCTTTTGGATCAATTTTGCTTAATCAAGGGACTAAATTTGAGAAATGTGATACTTTTGAACTACATTGGCCACATACGAATACTCGAGGGACTATTTTGAATTTAATCTAGCTAATAAATCAATTGAATAATCTAATAGTTTAACATGCGATGAAGCATCTATTGATATTATTGCGAAGTCATGAATTTCAATTAATTTTTATGATTTTTCATTGTTTCAAATTTCTACACATTATTTCTCTATTAGAAGGCTTCTAAATTATCCTCTTCATGATTTTGTTTTTCATAATTTTCAGTTTTTATCATCCAACGAAACAAAAATTTTACCTAAATTAGGTGCATGTGATTTGCATAGTTCTGTGTACGTTTGCATGATTTTGGGATTAGTTACTTTTTTTAAAATTTAATTTAATTTTATTTTGGGATTAGTTACTTGTTGCAAATTGCTGCCAACTTATATCTCGTCATTCATTTTGACCTAAAGAATCGTCCTGCCAAACTTTATCCCACATGTATAGAAGTTGCGTGCACCTGTAGTCTTTTTTACTTTTAGTATTTTCTATTTTGCCTTATTTACTTTTTTTTTGCTTATTTCAGTTTGGAATTGTTCCTATCATTTTGATGGGTCAAGGGTTGGACGAGTCATTTTTATTTTCATAATATTTCATATTGACATTGGAATTGTTAAAGATTGACCCCCTTTTTCTACTTCACACAAAGGCAGCTTTAATAATATGTAGAATGACATTGAGCTTTGTGGATTTGAACAAGATGTCAGTTACTGGTCTTGATGTAATTTATACTGTAACTGCTAGGCTAATCCTGTTTAAAAATAAAAAAGTTACAATGCATTTGTATTTTTAAAATAACAATTTACTAGAATCAGGTTTCAAGGGAGCTACTTTAAACTTCAACTTTGGAATCAAGTTTTACAAGCTACCTGTGCTGGAAACATAGTAATGTTTATTTTGTTTATAATTAAAAAGGCAAGTGATTCAATTTTGATATGTTTTGTATATTGGAATGCGCCAGCTTGTCTCTTTGGATTGCTTGATTTACACTTTAGTCTTCATTATACTATTTGTTTGTAGTTATCTTTATTCCAGTATTGTGCATGTGCTTTTTCCATGAAGCCAAACAGGCTCATTGCTGTTTACTTATTTGCTTGTTTTGTACATGTTTTTCTTGTAGGAAGTTGAGAAAGATGTAAAAACACGCACAAAAGGTGAACTTGGTGCTGCTAAGACATTATGTACTCCTTTTGATCAACCAAATCTTCCTGAAGGTAAATCAATATGTCCATTCGTTAATCTACTTAAAAAAAGAATTCTCCGAAGTAATATGCAACATTTTGTTTTGATATAGTGCAATTGAACTTACTTTTCATTAGTAGAAGAGAAGTGAGTGGATGGATGACTTTGGTTATTGGGTTCCGAGTAAAATGGTGTTAACCTGTAACGATTCCAAGCCATTTGATTTCAAAATCATATATATTTGAATACGCTTACAAGTGGTTAAATGTGATTCACCTCTTTGTGCAATTATACTAGTTCACGCCCCCGGGAAGATATGTTCTTACATACATGCAAAGAGTAACCAAGTACACTGGTTAAATATACTAGAAATTCTACATATAATTGTTAGAGAGATTATGATATATTGTATAAAATATTATATAGTTGTTAGAGAGATTATGATATATTGTATAAAATATTATATAGTTTGCATCTTCATTGTAAAATGAAATTTGTTCTAAAGTAGTTAAAATCCTAGAATGAATTTCTTATTCTTCAATTATATTTTAAATAATGTATATAATAATAATAATAATAATAATAATTATAATAATCAGTATTAAATATAATACATGATATCATATTTACACCTGTGACCAATGCATCTTTCTTTGACTGTCTTGTGGAATAGCATGCTTTTTCTTTTATTTTGGGAGGGGGCTGGGGTATTTCCACGTAGCACTTAAAACTATTACTTTTAAATATTTAACACATAAACTTCTCTATTTATATCATGTAACACTATTAACGGAGAACCCTCGATGAAGTCACAACATGGATCTGGTTGAACGACGAGAAAGTTATGACATAATCTTGTTGTGAACAACATCAATGGGATTGGTGACAAGTGAAGGTCGAGAAAGGGGTTGATTTGATTTCTCAATCTGATGTTTGTATTGTAGAGGCTTGAAAATCTCTTCTATTTGATTAACGTGGAGAAGCTTGTTCCGAATTGTAGTGAGATGGACTATGTGTGAAAAGCCATGGTATCTCACTGGCGAAGGGCGATGAAATGCCATGGTATCTCACTGGCGAAGGGCGATGGGACCGGCGGTGTGGTTACGAGATATGTTATTTTTTATGGTATTTATAATTTTGAGAGATACACATTATTAGTGAAGTTTAGGTCTTAAATTTATAAATGTAATAGTTTAAGTGCTATGTATGTGATCCAATCCTTTTAGTTTTAAGCTTTGGTACCATTGAACTCAAACTAAATTAAAGATTAGTTAGTAATGTTGAATTTGAACCTCACTGTTGTTTGTTTGATCTCTCACAAATTTTTATTTGAAAATTAAAATCTATAGGTGCTCAAATCCTTTATTTGAAGAAATAAAAACCCTTGTTGCATGATCATGATATTTCCTAAGGATTGAAATTCAAGAGGAACAATATTAATGCTTCCCCTAAAATATATGCGTTTATGCGTGCATAAGCATGCCCTTGCATTGCATATCCCCCCGGATGACTAAGTTTATTAGTGTTATTAGACATTTCCTTAACAATGTAGAAAAAATAGAAGCTATCACTTGAATGGGCAATCAAGCAACTTTCTTAGAATTGATTTTCCCATCTTTCACTGTAAAATCGAGCCACTTCGACTTTGGGCCAACTGGACATGTTCTTAAAGTGGAGCTTGTGAAATGGAATAGAATAGATCTAAAAATTTCTATCAGGTTTTTTTAATCATGAATAGTTGTTTTTTAGTCCATGATCGCAGTAAGTGCATTATTTACTCCCTTATCCACATGCTTTCGACAAATAAAGAAATGCTGGTGTTGCCTTAGATGGTTATATGAAATGTACGAGATTAAGCTAGCCATACATCTTTTAAGCTTGATGGATTATAACTAGATTGGTTGATGTACAGTGATTTATAGAACGAACCCCATGTTTGCTTAGGGCATGTTGGCCCTTTCTTTACTTTACTTGGTTGTAATGGTTTTTTTGATGAATGCAAATACAAAAGTTCAGCCCATGTAATTAGCGATAACAATACAATATGACTACTACCGAATTTATGCGTTGGTTATTAGGCCATAGAAGTCCTATATCGACAATAGATAGACTAGTTTTTTTTTCCTCTAAATCGCTTGGTAGAAACTTACTACTTCACTGAAATACCAGATCAAGCAATTATCGTTCGTGTTTCTAGGAGGTTTAGGGTAGGCTTAGGTTTCGTTTGGGACAACTTTCTTATTATTTTCTAAAATAATTTTTTAGTACAAAAATTCTTGAATTAAAAATTTTTATATTAGAAAGTTGATTTAACAAGTAGTATGAAAGCCGTTAAGCTTCGTTTGGGACAGCTCTTTTATTGCTTCTTAAAACAATTTTTTTGTACAAAAAAGTTTCTTTAAGAAGTAGTAAGAAAACTGTCTTAAACCAAGCCTTAGGCTTTGGGACGGCTTTTTTGCTGTTTTTGAAAACAGCTTTTTAGTAAAAAAAATTAATTTTTGTATTTAAAAGTTGTTTTAAGAAGCAGGAAGAAAGCCGTCCCAAATAAAGTCTTATTCTACTTTGAAAAGTTGCTTGCAATTCTTGTCTTAACTTTGTGGACGCCAAGCTCCTGGCATTCCACCACAATTTCTTTTTAATTTATATTATTAAGCACAAATTTAATTTTGGAGCAGTGAGTGCTTATATGTAAAGGAGAGCATAACGTGTATGTTAAATGAACCTACATTGCCTTTTGCTTGTTTGGGCTCATTAATTCTTGGTTATGCATTGTTTCTCTTATCACATAAAATGTTTATGTTGTAGGGACTCTCTGCTTTGCATCAGGGAAGCCAGCCAAGAAGTGGACTTATTGGGGTCGAAGCTATTAATTTGAATCATTTGTTGAATTTACAATGCAAATTTTCCTGCTTGTAGATCGTAAATAGTGTCTCATGAGGGAGAATTATTACGTGCGGAGTCCGTATGACGAGAATCATCTGGATTTGTTGCGTACTTAATAAGTATTTGTTGCATATTTATAAATACTCAACAAATATTCAGTTGTGAGTATTATTGATTATTTTATGAGTATTTGCTGAGTATTTTATGAGTATTTGCTGATTTATTACATATTTACTAAGTACTTATTTAATAATCAACAAATATTCAATAAATACGTTGGAATTTTGACTTTTTTTTTCTAGTCGCATAGAATAATTTCTCTTTCATGAGAGGCATACTACTATTATTCCCATCTTCAATATTTTCATCAGTTTGGCCTTCAATTTTTCATGGCTTGAAAAGGTTATAGCTAGAAGACTTTCAATTTCTTTTACGTGCAACTGATTCGTCAGGCACGTGCTGCCAAGATTTTTTTGAATAATTTTATTTCACCCCATCCGTCTGTATATGTGGCAAATAGATGTACATATAACAGATGGATAGTATTAAGGGGTAGATTTGAAATCCACTACTTATTCTCTAACGAATTTATTTACTTTTATAAAGGATGAAACTTAGGCTTCATTTGGTGATGGTATTGATACAGATTTTGGTCGCAGCCGCTTGGATTCGCTCCAGATCGCACGAGCACAGAGCGAAGAGGGGAATTAGGGATTCGACTATCTTAAAGTCACGGGAGGGCTTTGCCCTCGGTTTTAACCGGTGCTGTTGTATACAAAATCTGATGCAAATGAGGGTTTTGGCAGCGGTTTTGAAACCGCTGCAAAAAAATGATGCGATAGAGCCTATTTTTTGGTAGTCTTACATAATTTATTTCACACTATCCATTTAAAAATAATTATTTTTTCCTGAAAATTAAGGTAAAATAATTAATCTAAGCTTTTTCTGAATAATCAAACTTATTTGTATAAGCTACTTAAATGATTTATCTTTAATTTCCATACTGAACCAAAGATCTAACTAAGCATTTGAATTAAAGCATATTTGAAACAGCTTTTTTATTGAGTTCTAAGATTTCATTTGGGACAAATTTCTTGCTACTTTCTGAAGTAGTCTTCTAGCATACAAAATTTTAAATTAGTAACTCTTGGATTTTTTACCTTTGATACTTCTTTATTTATATCTATATATAAAATATAAAAATACTGAACTGATTGTTATTTGAAATGAGAAGAAATAAAAAGCTCGACGAAGCTGTAATTAATATAAACCATAGAAGTCATAAATATTTTCCTTTGATAATGAAAAAATAATTTAGGGTTCATCGTGGGACTGATTTCTTGCTGCTTTAAGGTCTTGAGGGGTGTGTAGCCGGATTAGTGCTGTAGTAAAGTTTAATCCCGTCATAATTTTTTTTCGAAAATCATAAAAGAGAAATTTATCAAGCAAAATGACTTAATATATAATATATAAAATATTATACGCGCACAAGCTCCCTTTATTTTACTAGCATATTCTCCACGTACAGACTGACAAACGACTTGCTTGACCTAATTAATAATACTGGGGCTAGAAGCAGCAGGCGGTGGCGGCGATGCTGCCGGAGGTGCTTCTTCGGCGGCGTCACAGTATCCGCGAAGGACATCTCCCTCCTGCGCGGTGAAACCCAATGCGGTGAGCAAAGCGTCGGCGGCCCAGCATCGCTTCTCTATGACAAGAATAGCCCTGCAGCAACTTGGGCCCAAATACGTCTCTCCGTTTAGAAAGAAGAGTATGACTTCTCCGGTGCACGACCGTAGCTCCATCAGTGCATCCCAGCATTGCCCTGCCTCGTCTGCCTGTAGACGGGCCATTAGGCCCGGAGGAACTGGCCCAACTCTGCCGGCGTTCGCGCAGCTAGCGGCTAGGAGAAACAGAACTATCATGGGGAGGAAAGCCATCGATTCTTTCTATGGTCTTCAGTAAAAAGCTGATGGTTATGGCGATATTGGTGGGAGATATGTTGAGCTGGCTGTTTACAGAGTATATATAGGGAGAGAAGATGAAGAGCTAATAACTTCCACGTTAGCTAATCATTCTTTCATGAAACGTTAGAAGAGAAGGGGTCGAGGCGGCGATTAACAGGTAGAATGTTGATTGCGAATGATTTACAGTACTAGCTGTCATGATTAAATAGAAGATGTTACAGATTAAAAGCTAGAATGGAGTGGGTATATATCATCAAGAAATAACTCCTCACGATCCTCCATCTACGTAGTAACGTACGTACCGAGCAGATGAATAGACGTAAAAAGTTATATTTGCTAATTTGAATATTATATGTTTATTTAGAGAAAATTGACTTGGAAAATAATTAAACTGTAATTCTTACGTACAATGTAATTTTATCATGAAATAAAAATAAAATTTAAATAGTCATAAATTATGTGATGACCCTTAGAGATAGGATACGAAATGAGCATATATACGTGAAAATGTTGGAGTAGCTCCAGTAGAAGATAAGATTAGAACTAGCTAGAGAGTCGTCTTAAATTGTTTGGTCCCATAAAATGGCGGACTTCCAATGACCCGGTTAGGAGAATAGATGTATTAGATTTGACTTATGTTAAGAAAAGTAGAGGCAGACCTAAAAAGACTTTGTTAGAAAATATTAGGAATGACATTTATTTATTAGATTTAAACAAGAATTTGACCTTTAATAGGACACATTAATGGAGAAAAAGGATTCATGTAGCCGACCTCACGTCGTGGGATAAAAACTTGATGTTGTTGTTGTAGTAGTTATAAAGTATGTAATGTAAATAATTTTCAAATAATACAAAATTTAAAATATACATTAAAATATAAAGTATAGACCTTTTAGTTTGGATATAATATATATGATTATTTGAAAGAATTTGTTCCAGTTGTTTTTTTGCAATTAAAAATTTTAAAATCTAACTCTAACTTAAAATTGCATTTTTCTAAACTTTAGTTAAAGTTTTATTATATTCATAATGTAAATTTATTTTTCAAATATTGAAAATTTAAAAACATTAAAATATTGATTTTATTGTTTATTTGTTTAATATAGTATACCTATCTTGAAGAATATGTTTTTGTGATATTTCATATTAGAGAAAATTTAAAACGTAATTTAGTCTATTTTGTCTCGTAATTTTATTTAAACTAAAACTAAATTGTAATTACTCACAATATTTGTAATCTAAATTTATATTTAAATAATAGTGAATTTAAAGTATTAATTATAAAAATTATAATTGAAAATGACAAAAGTTTAAGTTATTGAAATTAAATGATGCTTAGAAAAGTAAAATATATTCTTTCATTTTAAACATTAAAGTATTATTAATTTATTCCCTGCCAATTAAATATAAATAAAGTATATAAAAAGCTAAACAAATATTGGTGTGATTAATTATCATTGAAAAAAAAAGTTGAGATGTTTAGTGAACATAATATTCATTTATTGAAGGTTGGGCATATAATTAAGATTTTATCCGATCTAAAATGACTGATAAAAATTTACTTTATTTGTTTCTTTTATTTATATAGTTACTCATAAGATTTAATTTTATCGTATAAAATTACATTGTCTATTGAGAAATTTTAATCTATAAAAACGCAAGTTGAATAAATTCATGGAAAAATAAGATCAAGTATATGTTTGATCAACTATAATATTTTTCTGATAGAGAGCAAAATGAGGGTTGAAATGTACGAAGGTCGGAGGGAACGTAGTTAATTTGGTGGCTGAGGTTTGAAGGACCGTAGTCATGCGACGCTGGTCTAAGGAGTCGGTAGGCGACTGTAGTCAAAGGAATTGTAGGCGGCAGATAATGATGGTCAGGGGACTATAGTTATCAAGAGACTATGGTTTGAGGGAACGTAGTCGACAGGAGATGGTGTTCAAAGGGACCACCGTCGCCCACCAACTACAAGGGTCAAAGGGATAGTAGTTGACGAGCAACGATGGTAAGAGGGATTGTAGTCGAATGGAAATGCAGGTCGGAGGGACTCTTATCGGTGGGCGACAATGGTCGGAGGAACTGTAGTTGGCGAGCGATGGAGGTTGGTGGGACCGTAGTTGACCGGCGACGGTGTTCTAAGTGACCATAGACGATGGGAGATGATGGTCAGAAGGAAAATATTCGATGGGTGAAGATGATTGGAGGGATCGTAGTCAGCGAGCGACAATTGTTGCATAGGGAGTAGTAGGTTGGCAATGGAAGTTGGAGGGATCATAATCTGCAAGAGAAAGAGGTCAAAGGGATTGTAGCTTGTGGCTGATCATAGAGGTTGAAGGAACTGTAGTTAGTATGGGATAGATGTCAGAGGAACAATAGTCGGTGGGTGAGGGTACTCCGAAGGACCGTAGACCGTAGTCATCGATCAACGAGCGATGGTGATCGAAGGGATCATAGTCGACAGGAGATGGTGGTTGGATGGACCGTAGTCCACATGCAACCGTATTCTGATACTTTCCAATTTGAATATGCCTCTAGATTTGTGCTCGATCAAGGCGATTCTTGGTGACGTATCAAGTATACTGATAATTTGATGATTATAAGCATTAAATGCAATGATTTTAAGACAATAAATTTGTGTTTGCAAGTCATCTAGTTATACTAATATTATGTCCAAATGTACCTACTCATTTACGTCCAAATGTACCTATCCAAATGTACCTACTCATTTACGTCAACGACATGCTCATTACTAGCAATAACACCATGTCAATTCAGCAGCTCCAGTCAAAACTGCACACAACCTTCTCTATTAAAGAGCTCGGACCGGTCTCTCTATTTCTTGGGATCCGGATCATGTGCATAGAGCAAGATTATTTCCTAAATCAATCCCATTATGAGCGTGACATTCATACAGCTTGTGACTTCTCCAATTGCAAACCTGCCCTCACTCAATTTCCCCTCAGACCGTCTAAATGTCCCATGGAAAATCAACCATTCAGCGATGTCACCATGTATTGCAAACTCCCAGGCTCATTACAATATCTTACTACCACTTGACCGGTTATTTCATTCGCAAAAAAATAAAAATTTCAACACATGCACACCCCAACAAACAGTAACTACCAAACTCTCAAGAGGCTACTCTGTTACATTCGAGGAACAATTCACAATAGTCTCCCAATCGTGAACAACGATCTTAATCTTCAAACCTATGTGGATACTGAGTTGCATGGTTGCAGATCCCTCCGATCATAAATTCATTACAAGTTTCTGCACCTTCCTTTGAACTAATCTCATCTCATGGAGCGTGAAAAAGTAAGTCACCGTCACGAAATCTTCAACTGAGGCATAATACCGCGCTCTTGCATCAACCACCTCCGATATCATTTGGATTAGAAGATTGCTGGTAAAGTTTCAAGCACCCCAACCTAACCCAACAAACCTCTTTTGTGACAACACCTCCGCCATGACACTAGCAAAGAATATGACTTCTCATGTCAGGACCAAACATATTGAAATTTACTATCACTTCATAAGTGATCATATCATGTCACATGATATCGCAGTCCATCATATCAACTCGCTAGATCAACCAATAGATATTCTCACAAAGCCTTTGACAGCAACCAGATTTCACAATCTCCGAAGCAAACTAACAATCCTTCCTTAGGAATGTTATTTTGAGGGGGCTTGTTAATACTCTCCATCAACAGCATACTCAGGAAAACACGGCTCCGCAACACAACCGCAGTCTAGCTGACACTACGACAAAGGCTACGCAGCCACGATCGATTGCCAATGGCAGCATAGAATATCCTATCTAACTTAGTCCAGATAGAAATATTAAACATTTAAAGACATTAGCACAGATATGAATATCCTAATTACTAAAATTCACTTGTACATTGGCTTTCGAAGCAAGCGCTGGCATTTTAAGGATGATATTTCTCAGGTTATTAAACGGCTATATTTCATTTGACCTTATTTTCATCCTCTATTACTCACAATGTATGATCCTTTGTCAATTCTCAGCTATTTATGTTTCAGGATGGTTATGATAGTGTCTTTTTTCAGCTATTTTTCATTCAACTATCGCTTAAAGTACTTCTTCCATATCCAAACGCATGCTGTGCAAGAACTTATGTCGGGAGAAGATCTTGTTGCTATATATCATCTATTGAAAATTCTTTGGGTTAAGGCCATGCAGAAAGTTAATTGGGTTGTGTTTCTGTTGGAAAATAAGAGGCAATTGTAAGAGGAAGAATTCTAAAAGAGGAGGAATACTTTTAAAACTCACTCAATTTATTTCACTCTTAAACTTCTTGATTCTAATTCATATAAAAACACACAGACATCATATCTATTTATATTAGTGACTTCCCCTTTAGGATTGCGCCAACACATTTCAATCCAATAGCTACTATTGTCTCTCTAGAATACTCTCCTATCTTCTTTTACAAAAGTCAGTAATTGCATATTCTAGAATTATCTAAATAACTCTTTTAGAATATATTTCTAGAATCATCTAGAACATTCATCATAAAGTGGGATTCTAGAATTTTCTAAAGACTTATCTAGACTATGGGCTCAATTAAAAGGCCCACTCAACTAAAGGCCCAATTAATAAAGTTTAATTTTTCTTATACTTTTATCTGAATTATAATCTAAATTCAGCAAAAGCTACATCTTTATGTCGGTTCTCCTGAACTATTTGATTACTGATACACTTCGATGGCTAGAGTTGTTCTCACTTGCAGGAAAAGGGTAATTATCTTTTGTGAAGGAGATTATTTGCACGACTTTTCATGAAACTTTTGTATTTCTACTGATTGTTCCTTTTGGCTCGATTTTGCAATGATGAAAATATTATGTTCTCTGCTTATTTCATAGGGCTGGATACAGTGTACCAGATCTATCATTTATTTGTGGCTTTTGGCCAAACTAAATAGAATATTTGGAGACGATGATGATTACCAACCTACGTATGTAATTCAACCAGGCTACTACCATTTCAGCTATTAGCTTCTCCCTATAACTTTACTGATTGCTGTTGGGAGATCACTAGTTTATTGCTACTTAGGCTTCGTTACAGACGGCTTTCTTACTGCTTCTTAAAGCAGCTTTTTAATTCAATAATTTAAATTTTTGAACTACAAAATTGTTTTAAGAGGTATTAAAAATGCTGACCCAAATGAAGCCTTAACCAAGACAACTTTTTATTCACTTACGCCATCCATTACATAGGCTTACCTGCCTCGTCGCTCATTGGCTACTTTTTCTTCTTTTAAGGTCGTACATTACATAAGCTTGCATGCCTCCCCGTCCACCATTCATGAATTTTCTTTAGAAAGATAATCACAGGTTAATTTCGCTTCTAATTATCATCTATCACAACACTTCAAATACACATCGCCGTGGTTGTTGTGACACCGGCCAGGTAGGGGGCTCGACGAATCCACGTCGACAATCCGGTGACGGTCGCCGGACACCGCTCCAAGAACTTCTTGGAGGAAAGATCCACCACCTAAGAATCACTCTTAGGATATAGGAAACACATGAGACTAAACTCACCTCATATTCATATCTCAAAATCTATCCTTATTACAAGACATTGGCCTATATTTATAGACTTCAGGTAGTCACATAATAGGCTACACAAGAAATAGAGCTACATCAATCACTAACAAGAAAATATAATTTATTTAAAAGGATGCTCCTGCGTCATTCTACCGGGGTAGGAGGAAACTTTGAGCCCGTAGAAAGAGATCCGGTTGGCCACCATAAGGAGGTGGGTTTGGTTGGCTAAACCAGTTTGGATAAATCCAACCAGTGTCAACACCACTGCAGAAACTATACTGGACTCTAGAACAAGTCTCTTCACATCTACCCAATTGTGGATTCCTACGTCTTGCCTCTAAGGATGTAACCTTGCAAAACTCACATTGCCATAGACCAACAATATTTTTTAGAATACGATAGCAATCGAAGTAAACAACAATCTTGCAACATATCCCATCTTTTAAGTCGCCTTCAGGCTTATCTCCATCTTCATAAAATAGCTTACTTGGATCATTCCTCTTATCAGTGATGGCAAGCACATTTATTGCCTTAACATGAGGAATATGCATGCATAACTCCGGCGGGGCATCCATCTTGCTCTGGTCATCGTCATACATGGTCTTATCAACATCAAGAACATCAAATAACATGTCGTCATCGTACACGTCATACACGGGTTCATCAAAGATTGGCAAAGACGACGATTTCAACAATGGATCTTCAATTTCGGCTTCTTGAAATGGTTGTTGCAACGTCCATCGAGGAGGAACTATGACAGATTCCTGATCAACCAAATCTAATAAATCCATAATTCTCTGATCATGTTTGGTGCCTTTCGAGGAAGCTTTGATTTGGTTCATATTTCCATTCAAATGTCTGTAAGCATCATGCCCATAATAATCAGATGTTTCCATTTTAATTTATAAAGTATGTAATGTAAATAATTTTCAAATAATACAAAATTTAAAATATACATTAAAATATAAAGTATAGACCTTTTAGTTTGGATATAATATATATGATTATTTGAAAGAATTTGTTCCAGTTGTTTTTTTGCAATTAAAAATTTTAAAATCTAACTCTAACTTAAAATTGCATTTTTCTAAACTTTAGTTAAAGTTTTATTATATTCATAATGTAAATTTATTTTTCAAATATTGAAAATTTAAAAACATTAAAATATTGATTTTATTGTTTATTTGTTTAATATAGTATACCTATCTTGAAGAATATGTTTTTGTGATATTTCATATTAGAGAAAATTTAAAACGTAATTTAGTCTATTTTGTCTCGTAATTTTATTTAAACTAAAACTAAATTGTAATTACTCACAATATTTGTAATCTAAATTTATATTTAAATAATAGTGAATTTAAAGTATTAATTATAAAAATTATAATTTAAAATAAAAAAAGTTTTAAGTTATTGAAATTAAATGATGCTTAGAAAAGTAAAATATATTCTTTCATTTTAAACATTAAAGTATTATTAATTTATTCCCTGCCAATTAAATATAAATAAAGTATATAAAAAGCTAAACAAATATTGGTGTGATTAATTATCATTGAGAAAAAAGTTGAGATGTTTAGTGAACATAATATTCATTTATTGAAGGTTGGGCATATAATTTAGATTTTATCCGATCTAAAATGACTGAAAAAAATTTACTTTATTTGTTTCTTATATTTATATAGTTACTCATAAGATTTAATTTTATCGTTTGAAATTATATTGTCTTTTGAGAAAATTTAATCTATAAAAACGCAAGTTGAATAAATTGATGGAAAAAAAAGATCAAGTATATGTTTGATCAACTATATATAATATTTTTCTGATAGAGAGCAAAATGAGGGTTGAAATTTTGATTTATTAAAGCTAATTAGACAAGAAATTTAAATGAAAGATATTGAATGAAACTAACATTAATTGAAACAATAATAATTTTCTGATATAGAACAAAACGAGGGTTAATATTTTGATTTATTAAAGATAATTAGACAAGAAATTTAAATGATGGAGATTGAAGGAAACTAAGTTTTTTAAATATAAATAATATATTTAAAAAAAAAGAAACAAAATTGTAAATTCACATAGATCAAGTCCTTGTTTGTGTGGGGAGAGGAAGAACTATAAATAACGTTTCTAATTTAAAATTGATGATGGGTGCCTATAATATATACCTCTAATTACTTGTATGCAATGTCAAACTCTATGAACCAATTGTGCATTGTTGTGTCCTAAAACATTCACAGTGTTAGAGAGATAAAGAGCATATAGCATGCCAATTTTTTACAAAGCTCTAGCACATAGACAAATTAAAGAGAGGGATGCAAGGGTCATAAGAGATACTAAGGTTTTTATGTTAAAAATCCTAAAAAGAGGAAAAAATCGTAGGGCCTAGCCCAATTAATTTTAATCCACTAGTGTTTGTTGTTACTTAAAAACTTGTCATTCCTCAGAGGAAGGCATTGACTTAATGCAACAAATGTACATTATATAGATCACTTTACATGTTTTGGGCTAGACGAACCCAATGTTATGAGATTTTTCTCAAGAGAATGTTTGTCTATTCATTTGGTTAGTAGGATCATAGTCTGGTGATGGAGGTCGGAGGGAACATAGTTTGGTAACTCATGTTAGAAGGACCGTAGTCATGGGATGATGGTCTAAGGAGTCGGCAGACGATTGTGGTCAAAGGGATTATAGGCGGCAGATAATAATGGTCAGGGGACTGTAGTCAACAGGAGACTATGGTTTGAGGGACCGTGGTCGGCATGATATGGTGGTCAAAGGGACCACTGTCTCCACCAACTATAAGGGTCAAAGGG